GGATGAGATGGACCAGACATGCCCTGGAGCCCTTCTGCAGTCCCTCCTCCCAGCCCCGATTGTGCACCCCTGGGGTCCCTCAGCCTCGCATATCAGGACCCCTCGTGGGATGTTGGAGAGCCAGTTTTGGCTTGATCTCCGCAGGCCAGACCGAGGGACCCCACCAGTGCACAAATCTGTGCACCAGACCTCTAGTAATGACATAACAGAAGAGTCTGGCCTTTACTACAAAATGCATGATAGCGTGTGTGTATCTGTGAGTGTCTGTACATGTTTAGGTCTAATTTAGTTTAGCAAATATTTATTGAGGGTCTATTCAAAAGCATTATGCCATATTCTAGAAAATGCAGAGATAAATAAGATATAAACCCTGTTCTCAGTGAAACAAAAACAAACACCTCTTTAAGTGCACCATTGGCACAGGAAACAATAATCACATTACAAAGATCAGTCACAACAATAAGAATTTAAATTTTAAAAAATGCTTTTATAGAAATCTCTTTAATGCACATTCTCCTATGAGGATACATGTGAGTGAGGTAGGCACTTTGTCTGCTGTGTTCACTTTCATTTTCCCAGAATCTAGCACAGTACCTGACATATCTTATACTCATAATTAGTTATAGCACATGCATAAATAAATGAGGGTAATCTATGCTTGTGAGAGAATAATCGGCTGCTGATCATATGTACCAAATTTTTAGTGGATTCAAAGGCTTATGAATACGATAAACAAAACTGTGGAAACTATCATGCAAACTAGAACCCTTGAGATGGATGGTTTGAAGTAGAGTGATTAAAAGGATTTTTCTTTAAATATGTGTAAAGTATAAGGAGGAAGAATTATAATACCTTCCTGTTATGAGAGAGAATAAGAATTGCTAGAGGAGTCATGTGGCTCCCAACCACCAATCCCCTTAGGAAAATAAACTCAATTTGAATATTTTCCAAATTATGTGACGGGGCCACTAATGTAATGTATGACATCATAGAAATATTGAAGGGGATGATAATACAGAAATATACTGGGTTGCAAGTTGAACCTGCCTCATTCTATTCCTTCTGAGTCTAAAGTTCTCATTTATGGGACTACTAAGAGCACTGTAGCTCAAGAATCATTTAAATGTATTTATAACATTTTATTTAAAAAATTTTTATATTGTCAAATAGGAACATGAAAAGTGAAATTGAGTATGGGAGATATTCTATTTAAACTATTTGTTTCTTAGTATATGATAGATTCGTTACATCTGGATCAGCGTGATGTTGTATTAACTAAGAACAATAGAGTGAAGAGTAAGATTTGGTTAGAAGTCAGGACTCACCATTACCTGTGACTCTTAGGCAAGTCACCTAATCTCTCTTGACTCAGGTTTCTCACTCCTAAAATGAGAGCTGTGGACTGGATGATCTCTGAAGTGCCTTCAGGTTTTATAATTTTATAACCCACTTGTAACTTTTAAATTAAATATATTTCTATAGAGCCATATAATTATGTCTTCTTCAGTGGATTTTTCTAGAAATAGTTTGTCTCCTGTACCACAGCTGCAGAGTTAAAATGCAATCTATAGTCATGCTCTCCCAAGAGAGAAAGATATCATTTTTTTATGTAATTGGAAAACTTAGCTTTTTCCTCCTGATTTTTATTTACATCTGTGCAAGCTAAAGGAAAAGCAGTTGTTTCATAATTGAGTGTATCCTGATGACTTTATTTTGATTTATGGAGCCTTTGGGTACAACAGAGAAGAACCATAAATAAATCGTGGCGTTTCTGGCCTGTTCCTTTTTTTGCACTCTTTGTCCATACTGGCCTCAGATGTGCAAAAAATCTGGCCCTGTGCTGCAGGATTGTCCTCCCCTGCCATTACTCAGATGCACACTTTGCCTTTCCAGTCATTATTTCTAAAATGAAAGGCAATTACACCCCTTTTCTTCATTATAATTACTATATCCTAACTAATTTATTCAGCAAATATTGAGTGCCTACCATATGCCAAGCAGTATTTTCTAGGTAGTTGGGATACATTGCTGTACAAAACACAACTGACAAAGTCCTTGCCTTCATGAAACTTACATTCTTGTCGGAGGAGACAGACAACATATTAAGGAATATATAATAAGTATTTGTTGACAGATTGGATTGGGGGTGTAAGAGACAAAGCGGAGCCAGGGATGACTCCAAGATATATGGCCTCGGCAACTGGAAAGATAGAGTTGCCATCAACTGTGATAGGAAAGTTCTGAGAGGAGAGCTTTGGTGGACATACGGGAGGTGGGGAGAAGGGAATGGAACTAGAGTTGGTTTGGGACATAATTAATTTCATGTGTCTAGTGGCTCTCCGATGGAGGTGTCAAGTAGGTAGCTGGTTCCATGAGTCAATACTGGCATAAATTTGTGTTTAGTACAGATGCTAATTAAAGCATTGTTACTAGATGTATCTCCAGGAGAATGAGTGAGTTAGGAAAAAGAAAACCCCAAAGACTAAGCACTGGGCACTCCACAGACAGGTCAGGGAGAAGAAAAGGAAACAGCAAAGAAGTTAAAGAAGGAACAGCCAAGGAAGAAGAAAAATTTAATGGCTCTGGTGTCCTGCAAATCAAGTAAAAAATGGTCATGCCCTAGCCAATTTGGCTCAGTAGCTAGAGCATCAGTTTGGAGACCAAAGGGTCCAGGTTTGATTCTGGTCAAGGGCTCGTACCTTGGTTGCAGGCTCCTCCCTGGCCCAGGTCCTGGTCAGGGCTTGTGCAGGAGGCAACCAATTGATATGTTTTCCCCACGTCCATGTTTCTGTCTTTCCCTCTCTCTTCCACTCTCCTAAAAATCAATAGAAAATTATCTTCGGGGAAGAGAGGGCATGTATGGGGGAGGGAAGGGGTGGTGGGGGCCAATGGTATATGTACAAAGACAATAATTTAATTAAAAAATTAAAAGAGAGAAAGAAAGAAAAATACCTTTGGGTAAGGATTAACCAAAAAATTTTTAAAAAGAAAAATATGGTCATATTGTTCCAATGCTGCTGACAGAGCAAAAAAGTGAGGGCTGAAAATTGAGTGTTAGATTTATCCACATAGATGAATAATATATGTAGTCAGGGGGAGGGATTCTGTAGAATTCATATTTTACATGCTCAGGAATTACTGAATTGTTTAATTTAGCTTTCAAGGAGCCACTTATCATGTTACTGATATGAAGAATGGGCCCTTGTTTCCTTGAACCGTGTATGATTGTACTCTCCAAAGGTGTTGCCAGAAAAAATCTGGAGCAAAGCCTGTGTTAGTTGTATCCACCTGCTAGCCGTAGAGGAACAATGGTAACAATCAAGTTTGAATCAAAGTAGAATAAGTTTGATATTCTTCAAGTCATGGGTTAATAGAGTAGAATTTGTTCTGTGTCATTAGTTCAGGAAAATATAATACTAAAATTTTCCTGAGAGGAATGAAGATAGTTTTAGGAAGAGCCAAATAGATGAGAACAATAAGAAACTCTGGGTTTGCAACTACTTTACCAATATTCTTTAACAAAGGATTGTATGACATGATAAATTTGAGAGGGGACGATTTTTGGCTAATAAAGCCATTAAAATGATTTTTGATAATAAATGTTTTTAATAAAAGAAGTGCACATTGATTTCTGCAATAAGACACAGAGCAGAAAAATTTAAAACTTTATATGTTTTAATTAAAAAATACCAGAATCTCTTGATTGAACTTGAAATGCTATATTTCCAAAGACATTACTTACTTAGACAAACTAAAATCTTACATAACAAGTTGGAGACATATATATATATATATATAATTTGCATTTCTAAAACAAAAAAAAATTAGTAAAAATAAAATTATGCTGATTGAGCTTCTGGGGGGGGAAAGCTATTTAAACCCAGCAGTTTATTCAGAAATGACTGCTACAGATTAAGATGTTAGTTCTTGAAATGGTACAAATCACATGAAAACTATAACAATAATGAAAGAAAACTATAACTATAATGTATGACTTTCAGAGGTGCTGACATTTGTGTAAGAAGAATACTAAACATTTTTCAGTTAAGAAAGCAAAAGGTCTGTCATCCTCTTTTCAGTTTTTTATTTTTTTATTGATTTTTTATTTCAAACCCCCCCTTTTTTTTGCATTAAAACTTATTCCAAAGATTACTGCTGTTGTGCTAGATACTGACTTTGAGTTTTATGATATGTTAAAACAATAAAATCTGTATGTACATTATACATCTGTGTGTATATTATACATCTAACTGCATTTATATGTAGTGTATATATATATATATACATACATATATATATGAGCATGTACATACAAGGTGCCCATAAACACACACACACACACACACAAAAGAGGTTACATACATTAAGAGTTGAGTTGATAACACTAAAAGTATGTCATTTTGACCATCTGTTTCTCTAACAAATCTTATAGTCTACCTTAACTAGGTTGTGCCAGTATTTGGAAGCTATAGATAACACTTAAGTTTCTTAGATTCTTAGAATATTTTCCATATTAAGAGAATGATGCCTGTGAAGACAATTCAGCCAAAACCTTGAGGCACCTCAACTATAATGAGTACCCAGGATTTTTTAAGGAGAGTGATAAAGGAACATGAGCCTCTATCTTAGTGGTTCTCTAACCCTAGTAGCCTAAACCTTTTTAGGGGGTCCACAAGGTCATAATTATTATTTTTAAAACTCATCTAAGGATATATTTATTTTTAGAGAGGAAGGGAGAGAAAGAAAGATTGATGTGAGAAAGAAAGATTGATGTGAGAAAGAAACATCGATCAGTTCTTTCCCCTCAACCTAAGTATGTGCCCTGATTGGGAATCAAACTCACAACTTTTTTTGGTATATGGGATGATGCTCTAACCAACTAAACCACCCTGGAAGGGCCATAATTATTTTTTAATGCTAAGATGCCTTTTGCCTTTTTCACCTGTGGTACAAAAGCAATGGTGGGTGAGGTATCTTAGGATGAATCAAAATAGAGGCACCAGACTGTACTATAGAGATTATATTCTTCATTTGCACACACTACTTAAAAAAATTGCCAGTTTTATGTAATGTCCTCATTAAAGCAGTAAACTTATTATTTTAATATCTCTCAAGCCTTGGCTGCATATTGTATTAATACACTGTGGTGAAGGAGAAGAACATATAAAATACTTCTGCTACCTTTTAAAGTACAATGGGTGTCTCAAGAGAAAGTCCTTATTTTAGTTGAAAGTTGAATTAGCTTCTTTATCATATTATACCATTTTTACTTGAATAAAACAAATGATCATTCAGACTTCAGTATGTGGAAGACATTTTTTCAAAATGAACAAAGTGACACTTCAAAAAGAACAACTGATATATTGGTTGTATTTGCTGCCAAAAATGAAATTCAGACTTTCAAGTGATTACAATTTTGGAAATCTTGTACTCACCACCATAAGTTTGACAGCTTTGCATTACTTAAAAGTGTTTCTGATGAAAGTAATGGTGATATTAATGAATGTGATTTTTTTTTAATCCTCATCCAATGATATTTTTTCTATTGATTTTTTTTCTAAGAGAGTGGAGTCGAGGCAGTAAGGGAAAAGAAAGAGAAAAACATCTATGTGAGAGAGAAACATCGATTGGTTGTCTCCTGACCAGGAACAGGGATCATACCTACAACTAGGATACGTTCCCTTAACCAGGAATCAAACCTGCAAACCCTTTGGTCCATGGGCCGATATTCTAACTATTGATCAAAACCTGCCAGGGCATGAATGTGATTTTTTAATATAATTTGTCAACACTTGGAAGAGCTACATAACTCAGTGATCTAATATTTTCCAGTTGATCAATGCATATTGTTATAAAACCATGCGTAGGTAAAAGATCTATTCAAAGTACAAGATAGATGAATCAATTTTAATATCAGGAGCTTGAAAAGTAGATAATTTTCAGATTCCATATTGCAGCTAATCAAATCAGTTTAATATATTATAAAAAATGAATATCCACAATTATATGAAAAGGCTATGAAGGTACTTCTCCGTTCTCCAAACACGTATCTGATTCATAAATTTTAATCAAGACAACATATTTCAACAGATTGAATGCAGAAGCAGATACTAGATCTTCTAGTAAGCCAGTTGTTAGATATTTGCAAAAATGTAAAGCAATCCCATTCTTATTTTTTGCTTTATAGGATATAATTATTTTATAATATATTTTATGTTAACATGAAATGGGTTTTATTATTTTTAAATGAGTTAACATATTTTTTTAATTTCTTGGTTTTAACTTCTAATATGGCAAATGTTGATAAGTACAGCCCATATTTTAGAAAATGCTCTTTGAGCATCCTGTCTATTTTAGAATGTGAAGGAATCCTGAGATCAAAAAGTTTCTGTGTTTTTTTTTGTTTTGTTTTTGTTATTTCTCACCCAATGATATTTTTTCCACTGATTTTTTGAAAGAGTGGAAGGGAGGAGTGGAGGGGGAAAGTGAGAGAAACATTGATTGATTGCCTCCCGCAAAAGTCCCAACCAGGCTGGGAATCGAACCTGGAACCCAGGTGCATGCCCTGATCCAGGAATTGAACTCAGGACCCTTGGTGTCCTTTAAATAGATGCATTTTATTCCTGAAATTGCTCCCCACTTCAAAGAACAAACCCAAATCCTTCCAAGATGGTCAGGAACCTATCATGAAGGACACAACAACTGAATCTATCAAAGAAGGTAGACTACAGCACAGGTACTGAACCTGTCACTGCAGCAGAGTAGGGCCACCCCAGATCTGATTTGGACAAGCATTGCTCCGTGAACAAGGATCCAAATTCACTCATTTGTTTACTCAACAGACGGTATTCAGGGCCTCTTGTTCGTCAGATGTTGCAGTGAGTGATGGGGTTGTGAAGTGGAAGACAATAGCTTCTCAAGCAAGCTTGGAAATAAAGATGAGTTAGTGCCTGTCTGTGATTACTGCTGGAGCAACCATGTCTTGAAAACATTTGGGGCAGTGAGATGGCAATGATTCATTGAGAAAAGAGGTCTTGAAGTGTCAGAAAAATGAAACTTTGAGCTATTATGGAATTTTAATGGCCTAAGCATATACATTTATTTAGCTTGTCTGGCTTTCCAACAACATGTTTTTGAGAATGCATGTGCATAACATAGGTTCTATCTTCAAATAGTTTGCAGCCTAGGTTTAGTAACAAAATGGAGTTAAGAAAGTTGTGTTTTGGTAAAATAAGGAAGTCATATCAAATGCTGCACAGAAGCCAAATAGATAGGTCAGGGGTGAGAGCTGCTGGATTTTCAACACTGTATTAAAAAACAAATTCAAAAGGAAGACATGTTACTGCTTAAGAAAAGGTCAGATAAAGCAGCCAGACAGAATGGATAACATTGTGATGGTTTCCAAAGATAACCACCTGTAAATTCAAAGAACAGCGGCTTTTCTTTGAGCTGTTTATTGTACAGCCTTTAATTCGGCATTAGGGAAGAGAGATCCGGGAAACAAAGAAGGCTTGGGAGAATAAGCACTAAATGTAGCCTTTCCCCTGCTTTTAATTAGACTCTTTAACAACCAGGTAAGATGTAGTAGTGAGCTAGATTATTGGATCCAACGATGGCGAAAGGGTGAGCAATTTCCTTTTTAGTCCTCCTTGGCCATTCATTCTCATTGCCATAAGATAAGGAAAGAATATTCCTTCTCATAGTAGCAGAATGAGTAGCCTCAAGTCCTGGATCTTAATAAAAGCAGTGGGCCTGAGCGCTGAGAAAAGGGAATACAGACTGAGAAAAGGGAATACAGATTGAGAAAAGGATGCAGCTGATTTCCCTTGTCCCAGAGTGGCCAAGGCCCTTCTATTCATTTATCTTCTGTCATTTAGATAGAGATAAGTGTTTTCAGGATCAACTGATTGCTCAGAAGAGATAAATGATAAATTTGAGTCACAGTAAAATATAAAGAAATAGAAAAAAAATCAAGTCAAAGAACAAGGACCAAAAAAAAAGGGGGGGGGGAGGTTTTGAACAAAATGAAGGTCACCCCAGTTCCCCACCCCCCACCCCAAACATCACTGTCAATGAAAATCTTCCCTCTTACAAGGACCATGTGGCAAAATTGTTTGCCTTCCCCAAGGAGCAAGCAAAATTCTTCACATACATATAGGGTGCGGTAGAGAATGAACACAAACCAATGCTGAGATGATACTTACAAAATAGTTTAAAACAACAACCCAAAATAGTAAGATTAATAGCAAAAATATCTCTAAGGTTAGGCTCTGCTTCCCCTGGTGCCCTTTTGTTCTGTTTAAGAGAGAATCCAGGAAATAATGGATTCTGAGACTGCTCTGGCCATGGACCGGCTGGTCCATGTGGAGCCAAAGGGAACCAGCTAATTGGACAGGAGTGAGTGAAGGTACTTGTCTCTTTCCTGTGTGGCCCCTTACTTTAGTTAGTGACTTATGAAAACACCCATGTGCTGCGATCACTACTATTGTAACTCCGGTCACTGTTTCTGGAGGGTTGAAGCAGCATATCGAAGGTGGTTAACAATGGAGTATGTTGTGCATGGAGATCAATGCATTCACCAGTACTCTCTTCTTTCTCAGAAACATGATTCCTGTGACAGAGTTCCGGCAGTTCTCTGAGCAGCAGCCTGCCTTCCGAGTGCTGAAGCCGTGGTGGGATGTGTTCACCGATTACCTCTCCGTGGCCATGCTGATGATTGGGGTGTTCGGATGTACTTTACAGGTAGGTGCCCAGACTCATGTCAGATGGAGCCACATCAAGATGGTCATTGAAACCTTACAAGAGCTGGTTGTGTGATTTTAACCAAGTAAATGTGAGTTGCTCTTCAATCCTTATAAAAGATGTTCATAATCATGGCAGGGAGCCTGAATCCCTGATTTACTGGACTTTCCTAATAAGGTAAATATGCTACTAGTAAGGTTTCTCTGGGCCCAAACAGAAGTAAGGGGAGTATTTGATGACACTAACATTAAAGGAAGTCCCTTATCTTTAAATTTGGCTTTATAGTAAAATACAGCATGTATAGTCACAGCACCATTTATATTGCCAAAATGAAACGCTTTTCTTCACCTCTTCCACTAACTCCTGATAATATTTTCTGGAAGAACATTTTGATGGGATATTACCAATTTTACCCATTGTTTATGTTTTAAATAAAGATAGCCCAATCAAAATTTATTTTATATAGATGCTATGTATTCATATATTGAACCCAGGTAGTTTTTATATACCTACTATGTGCCAGGAAATACCTACTGTGAGGAAATATCTATGCATATAAAAGGCTAACATGCAGTGTTTCTGTGGGAGTTCAACTGGGACACCAGTTCTATTGCTCACTATGACGTGCGCTGACCACCAGGGGCTGGCATAGAATGAAGGAAGGCCCCTGACAGCAGCCGGAAAGCTCCGATTGGCCCTGATTGCCAGCCAAGCCTAGGTACCTTACCTGTGCACAAATTTTGTGCACTGGGCCTCTAGTATGTAACATACACACACACACACACACACACACACACACACACACAAAGAGGGAGGGAGGGAGGGAGGGAGAGAGGGAGAGAGAGTGTTTATTTGGGGGGTTAAACTGAATAAATAAACCGGCAATCAGAAAAGGTTGTGTTATACTACAATAGATGTATCCATAAGCAATAAGAAGTGCAGAGGAGAAGTGCTTGGCTTGGGATCAAGAGAAAGGGGGATGGTTGTATTAAAATTTGGAGAACCAGCTGAAGTTAGGGAGAGGGAGATGAAGGTGGGACAGGGTGCCAGGAAGAGGAAGGGAAGTTCTAAGTCATGGATGTGAAGAAGAACGGAACATCTTGGGGAAATTCAGTGGGTGTCATCAGTGTGAGAATTGAAGCCATGCCCACGAATAGAATCACCCAAGGGAAACTGGCAAGTGAGATGTTAGGAATAACATTAAAAGGGTGCATCTGAAGAAGACTAAGAGGGAGCAGCTGTAAGAAGGGGTGGAAACAAAAGGAGGGACTCAGAAGTCAAAGGCAGGTGTGGTTAATGATGGCAGACAATACAACTAGCTCATGGACTATGGAGAGAAAAGTAGCAACTAGGCCATTAGAAATCTTAGTTTGAATGGGTGGGTGGAAGTTAAAGGCTGTGGGCTAGGTACTTCAGAATCCCTTCACCGTTTTCACCCAGAAATACAACTTGGTAGTTACAGAATAGTCACGGGGAAGTAGATTACAGCATAGGAAATATTGTCAATAATATTGTAATAACCATGTACAGTGCCAGTTGAGTACTTGAAATATCAGGAGGAACACTTTGTCAGTTGCCTAATCCCTCTGCTGTACACCTGAAACCAGTACAAAATAATATTGAATGTAAACTGTAATTGAAAGAAAAAAAAAGGCTGTGGGGTAGATGTGACTTTCAGGTAAAACAGCTGAGAGGAAGAGGAGCTTGAAAGAGAGAAAAATAAGTATAAGTGGTGCTTTTATTTAAAAAATAAGCGCCTTTTTAAAGCTGATTTTAACTCTAGTTAACACATAGTGCTTCCTTTGTGTCAGGCATTATTCTGAACATGCTACATATATTTTAACTCATCCATCCATCATGGCAATCCTAAGACGTTGTTATCCCCTTTTAGAAATGAGACAGCTAAGGACAGAGAGTTTTGGGCATCCTCCCAAGGTGGGTGGCAAAGCTCTTATTCAAACCCAAACAGTTTGGGCCCAAATTCCCTGTTCTTAATCCCTAACACTATGCTACCTTTTACTTGTTAGCTGAAAAAATTTGTTCTTTCTCCAAAAAAAAAA